GCACTTGGGCTGCCAATGCTTATGAAGAAGGTGGAGATGTCTGTTTTTGTAAGGACTATGGTATATGCAGTGCGAACTGCAGCCCAGTCTGTTGCCAGTGCAAGTGTTGGTTCTGTTACCACTGCACGGGCCAGAGCAGATGCAAGTGCAACTTCAAGTGTTTAGTGCAGGTGCAGAGTCGTTGCTGGTGCCCGTGCCGGTGCGACTGGTAGTGCCACTGCTGCTACCGGAGATGGTGCTCCTTGTGGAGCTAGTGCCGGTTTCGAAGCAGGGGGGCCCGTGTCGATACCCGATCCTCCGGTAGATCAGCCTGATCCGCTGATGTGGTCGGTGCCCAATCCTCTAGTGGATCAGACTGAGCTGCCGCCGCTGCCAGCGCTAGAGCCAGTGTCGTCAGATCAGGTGCCGGTGCTCGATCCGATGCTGAAGGTGGTACCGATGTGCGAGACAACAATGATAGTCTCTGGTCTGCTATGATTTCATACTTCAGCTTTCTAACTTCGCTAGGCTCCGTGACCTGGATCTAGTCTTTTTTCTTCACTTCTTTTAAACACGAGAAGGACTAATTGTGGCGTGTTTGTTAAAACAAACTGTAGTTCATCATAGGTTTACAGATCATACTTAGACAACAGATTGATCCAATTGTGTCCAGTAATATAAGTGATGGACAGTGCCTTCGTTACTGACACATCATAAGAAGTGAAACCTGCTAAAATAACCATCATAATGCAAACCAAACGGTTTATTCTGTAATGAATGTGGCATGGCAAAACCTACATCGTAAAATTGCAGCAAAAGTAAGAAAACATGACAGTAAATCAATAAGATTTACTTGATGTGACACGAGTGAATCCTTACTTGGATATCACTATGTTCAAGTTCTAAATAGAAGGTTGATTATCCAATAGGTGGTTACACGATCAACCAGGAACACTATGAAGATGCAATAACGGTTTGGATCAGATCGCTACCAACTCCGAGTTGTAGCGGAAGAAGATGAGTCACTGTAGGTCATACTTGAATTCCCTCAAACCGTCAATAAACAATCCCTCGAATGGGAGACCAAAAGCACGACCTCTCCACATATTGCAAGCGTACAGTCTTCACGATCCAGCAGCGCTTTGCCGTCTAGAGCTAATCATCGCCAGAGAATTAGAGGGAGGAGATTATAACCACACTGGGTTCTAATTATGAGGATTAGAGGATCTAGATCTAGCTCTAATTGGATCAACTAGAAGTAGAACTAGGGAACTAGAGGAGGCTCCAAAACTTGTGTATCCAAAAGTGCCAAAACCTCTATTATATATAGGTTGGAGGAGGGGGAGGGGAGCCACATAAGGGGGCAAAGTCCCCCCTGGCTGGCCAAGAGGAGGGGGAAACCCCCTCCAATTCGCCCCCCTTCGTTCCACAAGGGGGAAGGGGGGCTACCTCCTATTTATGCCCAAGTGGCTAAGTAGCTTTCCAACACCAGGCCTTTTGAGGCCTGACGATATTTAAATAAATATAAAAGCCTCCTAATCATATTTAGAGCTTTTTATATTAATTTAACATCACCAAAAACTATTTTCATCTATATAATTTATTAGTATTACCTGGTAAACCCCGAAACACTTCCGGTTCCTCTCAAACTATTTAGAATATTAATGAAATTATTTCATAAATATTTCCTCATTACTCCAGTCCTACTAACACTCGGTAGATCGTGATTACCTTAAGCTTGTGATCTTGTAGGTTCGGTAAAACATATACATGAATAAAACCCCTTCCATTCAATGGCCGATAGCGGAACTGTGGACGTCCATATCGATCCTTGTGAGTACATGAATGACACTCGAGTGAACATTTGGTTATCATGTGCTATTCCCTTTGCTTCGCGATACTATAAAAATCCATGGTGAGATATATCGGTATCCTCTTGATTCAAACACAAGCTCACTATACTAGTCTCATTGCCAGTTTACTCTTCTTTCTTGTTGACATGTTCCGACATCCCTGTGACCTGATCACCTATGTTTGGACGGACGATGATGGATGCCGTCACACCAAGAGGGCCATAAGAATATCTCTGCATCCTCGGAGGATCAAATCCCATTCTCAAGGTATCTAGTCCATTGTCAAACTTTCCGATGAACCTGTAACTTGTCGTTATGATCACGGTGTTACAGATGACGTTTGAGCAACCCCAAAGTTCATCGTACTGTCAAAAGTGACTACGATACTCTCGCGGTCTAAGGAACTAAAACACATGTTAACTCTGTGTTATAATAATTGACTTCTTTGATATTATCTCAAAGTATAACAACAAGTTTTGGTCGATTCAATATGATCGTTCTTATAACTTACTATTTGAAAGTTGTTTTAGGACTATCGTTACACTTAACGATATTCTAAGATCCGGAAAACATGACCACCAACAACACTTGAGTTAGTCTTAGAGGCAAGACTAGGAACCATATTTTACGTTTATCATTCTACACGTGCAAATGAGTTCTCCACTGAATCGTATATTGCAGGATCATAGCAGTTATAGTATAGAATATAAACTCTTAACTATAAACATGAAAAATGTTATAGTACAATATTATTGCTTCTAGGGCATATTTCCAACAGGAATAAATAATTCAGAAACCCATTTCAGCCTTAATCTATTCCTTTTATCTGTAATTTTGAGGATTGAATTCCCATTGTGTAACAAGTTGTCGCTCCAAATATTTACATTTTATCCAATTTACAGCCTGAAGATAACTCCTTCTTAAGCAAGAATAAGTGGGTGTCTTTTCCTTTCCCTCACTCAAAGGTGGCTAGGGAAAAATTCTCCTTCGCTCCAAGATCTACCAGCTACCAGTGGATTCTCCTCCCCTCTGCATACCGCTTCAGCGGTTGGTGACAGGGAGGGGAATCTTGGTGCCTCTACTCCAGATAGTAGCTTATGTTAGGGATTTTAGTCTTCGTAGGGCGTCACTCGTATGGATGATGGCGCTTCATCTTCGAGTTGATCTTCCGGGCTTTGATCCTCCTTAAGTTTGTTCCTTGGGACAAAGTCAACGAAGCTCCAACATGAATTCCTGCTATCCCCTTTGGGCGGCGATGTTAGGATTTCTCGTCGTGCGTGCACAATGACTGAGATCTGGTGTTAGACACTTTAGATAATTTCAAGGGTCTGACAGGGATGACCATGACTCTAGGGCATTGGTCCTTAGGGGCATATGCACGAAGATTTCTCAGTTGTCATTGACAATGTCATGCTAGCTTCGGTATGGGAGCAGCGACAACAACACGTCAGTGGCTCATACTGTTGGCGGTGATAGTCGTTTGGTGATCTAGAGACCTTGATGTAATTTGCACTACGTTTGAGGTGCTTTATACTTCCGATGAACTTTCATAATAGATTTAGATATTTTGCCAAAAATAAACTCTTAAACAGATCCAGCCTATGCATAATGCCTGACCGGAAGGAGAAGTGTTAAGCAGGAAAGCAATATCAAGAATATGCTCATCAGGATATAATAAGTATACTAATTTGCCTTGAGCAACCACTCTTTACGCCAGAAATTCCAGTTCCATCAATCGCTTTCACCAAAATAATAATCGTATTCGTATTCACAGAAAAACATATAATGCCTAGCACGCAAAGACGATATCTAACCGAGTTGACAGAAGAAAGAAAGAAAAATTCGTAGTAAGAGAAACTTGTTTTTTTTTGCGGATGTAGTAAGAGAAACTTTGAACTGACAGGGTGGCCCTCTTTCGAGTTTCGACTGTAGGGCACAGCTGTCCATGCGAGTGCGTGAAAGCTCCGCCCTAGTACTACTATTTACCCACAGTCCTCACACGCCATGGCTAGGGCGCTAGGCCAATGAGCATGAGAAAACACCGCACCTCTAGCGGCAAGAGGCGACACACGCCACGGCCCCCCCCGCACCTCTAGCGGCAAGAGGCGACACACGCCACGGCCCCCCGCACAGAGAGCCCCTGCACCCACGAATCCATCCATCGGTCACCCCTCCTGTTCCATCCACGACGCGTCCCACTCCACGTCCCATCAATCGGCACCATGGCACAGGCAAGAGATTAGCAGTAAGATTAATTAATCAGCGCGACCCGACGGCTCAACCAGCCGATTAATCAAGCTAACCACCCGCAACTGTTCACGGCCATTATAGTAGTAACCCGATCGAGCTGACCCGACCGACAGGACCAAACTGACGTGCAAAAAAAGCAAGAAAAAAGGGGACGTACGGCGTACTCGCTGACGTGTGGATCCGGACCCACGCGTCAGTGGCCCAACGTCAGGTGGTCGTACGTCAGGAGATCCGGCTCCAGAAAAAAGCAGCCAAATTGGAGTAGTACCTGCGCTAGCTGGGGGTGCGGACCCTGCCACATGCACGGCAATCCCGCGCCGGAACAGGGAATCTACCCCGGCGGCCGCCGCACGCGCGCGGGCCTGCCACGGCCAGTACTGTTCCGATCCGCCCCTCCGCCACCCTTCCTTTCCTTATCGGGACCGCCTTTAATTCGCTCCCACACACCCGTCGTCGTCGTCGCCGTCGCTACCGGCCGTGCCGACCTGCCGTGCGGCGGATATTTTCCGGGCCTATACCATCAGTATTATAATAATATATAAACAACGACCGGCGCGGTGCGGCGCGGCCAGGTGGAGCGTGCGGGGGCACGGGCCCGATCGCCCCCCCGATTTGTTTAACCGCCAGCTTACTGTTCGGGCTCCCCCCGCCGGCCAATGGGAGCGCACCGTACGCCGCGGCCCCGGGGAGGCGAGCGGGCGAGCGAGACCTCTCCCTCCCCTCACCTTTCCCGTCGCTCCCCCTTCTCCTCCCATTGGCGGGTCGCCGTTTATATACTAGGCGCACACATACGGGCGCCGCAGAGGGTAAAAATCTAGCCAGCCGGTGCTCCTTTGTTTGTTTGTTCGTGCGGCTGAGCAGGAGGGAGGAGGAGGACGACGGCGCCGGAGCAGCTGGGAGCGGTTCAGGCGGGTCGAGATGGCGCGGGAGAGGCGGGCGATACGGCGGATAGAGAGCGCGGCGGCGCGGCAGGTGACCTTCTCCAAGCGGAGGCGCGGGCTGTTCAAGAAGGCCGAGGAGCTCGCCGTGCTCTGCGACGCCGACGTCGCGCTCGTCGTCTTCTCCTCCACCGGCAAGCTCTCCCAGTTCGCCAGCTCCAGGCACGTACCCTCGCTTGTCTTTCTTCCCCGCCCTCGCCACATCTCCCATCTCACATACGCATACATGTGTTCTTCTACCTCCTCCTCCATTCTCGCTTCTATTTTCATTAGATCTGCCTCCTCTTCTGGCCTCCCCGGCTCGATGCCGACTCTGGATCCTCGCACTGGCGCTAGGTTTCCCGCATCGCCAGCTACACATCCCGCCATCCAAACGCGCGCCATGATTTCCTCCGCCACCACTAGGGTTCGGATTCGGTTCCGACATCATCACATGATGCCTACGAAGAGCCACCATTCTACCTACATATACGGCTCAAGATCCTCACGGCCTCCGTCCTTTGCGCCGATCCGGCCTCGGTCGATTTGCTGCGCTTTCCGGAGGAATGGGGAATTTTTTCACTGTAGTTCTGGCACAGTACCAGATCGATCTCCACCTCTTTGCTCGATCCGTTCGCGTGTCCTACGCGGGGGAACACGCTAGTGTCCTCCGGTCAATCGCGTGTTCTTTCGCCTTCTTTTAGTAAAATACTAAGTATAAGCCGGAAGCCTATCCGTGTCTCTCCGGAATCTGGATCGGCGCGTGGAATGGGAGCAAAAGGTGTCTCTGCAGCTCGTGCACGCCCGTACGTACCTGTGATTTCATGTGGTGGCGGCATGCCGTATGCATATACATGACTACGTGCAAAGAGCTTCCCTCTGAGCTGAGGTCTCGTTCTCTGTGCAGCCGTAGTAGTACTCCTGCACTAGCAGTGGGATAGGAGTAGTTTCTTTAGGCTACTACTAGGCTGCTGACATTGGGTTACATTTATGGGATTTCGGTGCTTACCACTATTGTCTGTTTCGGTTCCAAGAGAGAAAAATAACATTTCAAGTACTACCAGCATCGTGGCTCTGCTGCATGTGTTGCGTAATGATAACCCAGGGAAAGGATTGTTTTATCAGTTCCCTTGTACCGGCATGTAGTCCTAGTTTTCTCTTTTCAATTTCATCCTGGTACTCAAAAGCAGGTTAATTATATATAATAGTATTTATGTTTTTTCCCAAAACTTTTTTTAGGGCTTGTACAATGCAAGATGTTTAGAGATGTGCTTGCGAAAATGAACTGATTTTTTCTTAAGCTCCCCGCAAAAAAGAGAGGAAAGTTCTTGCGATTTTTAATAGTCTGCCCATAACTAGTCGAAGAAGAGAGGCATACACATTATCTTATAATTTTTTTTTGTTAATTACATCATCCTCTTATAATATTTGATGTCTGGCAGTTTTGTCGCTTGGTGCTGTCTGCACGATTGCACGAATGTTATTGGGGAGCTCTGCTCCTGTTATCAATAAAAATCTGCTATGCAATGTGTTATCCAATATGAATTTGAGAAGATCTCTGTACCAAACAAAATCCTAACCAAATCATGTATGCATTGAACAATGAAATTCTTTGAGTTTCTTGTGGTTGAACCATGCACCTTAAGGACATGCCTGGTAGAGGAATATTTATTGGTTAAAGTTTTGGTATTTAGCTTAAATTTGACTTTATACAAAAATTGTACCAAGAAATATTATTCTAAAAAATAGCCCCTAATTAAACACTTCACAATCAAGACTCCTATAGATATAATCAGAAATTTGTTTGCATAATACTTTCTAAGAAGTAGCTCAGTAACTGTGGTAACATATATAAAGGCACATATACATATGACCATGTATTTCAATTAGTTTATTATTGTTCTTTCCTAGAGAATACAGATTCATGTTTCAGATCGAACCATTGAAACTCCTCCATTTGTAGAAGATGTTACACAGTTCCAAATAGCTTGAACATAACCTTTTTTAAGAAGATAAAGTAATGAGTATCATGGATACTTTTTACATCATATAAAATGACCTTTGGAATGTTGGACACCCCTAGCTTCAGAAGAAGATAAGAATACAGTGCTGTATTACTGTATGTAGTGCTGTATATATTTACAGGTTCCGGCCATATACGAGAGGAAGACAAGTTTATCAGTTTTGAACTAGTGGATACTATCTTAATTATTTATGTTGGTACTTCTGGACAATTTACTACTATAAATATGTGATTTGCAGGTTATTCCTCTTACGTACCTTTAATACATGATACCACATAATTAAAGTTAATATGATATGTTCCTGATCAATTAATATTACATTATATATGCTGGCGCACCTTCAAACACTTTTGTACAGAAGCTTGATTGCATTACTATATTTTTACATACATTATTAATTTACTGATAAAGTCTATCTTTGTGTAAATTCTGATGTGATTTTGGTTTGGTGAACAGTATGAACGAGATCATTGACAAGTATAGTACTCATTCAAAGAACCTGGGGAAATCCGATCAGCAGCCGGCTATTGATTTAAATGTATGTATAACTATCTATTTCTTTATATATTTGAGCAAAAATATATGTAATTAACTAGTATTCCCTCTGTGAAGAAATTAAATATAAGAGCCTAGTGATCTAAATGCTCATATATTTCTTTACAGAGAGAGTAATTATTAAAGGGAAAGAATTTTGTGGACAACCTAGTGAACCCACATACATTTACATTTTTTTTCTCAAAGAGTAATATGAACTCCATATAACTTCTCTCTATAGTTCCTTATAAAACATGTCATTTGCCGATCATTAGTAAATGTTAAATGATGCTAATAGGAAAACATCTTGCACTGGCACCTAATTTCTTGGAGCACACTAAAAGGAGAGGTAATGTGGTGGTGCGGTGAAATATATGCTGTGATAGACCAGCTAATGGTGTTCTGGCCCATTTTCCTGCCTTGGGTCCTATTTTCTGTCCCACTAGCCAGTTCCTAGCTGGAACTGTATTTTTTTCAAAAATTCCTTGTTTATTTCATTATGTTTAAAAACGTTTTGTCACATAAAATATTTTCATTATTTATCACTAATTCCGTGATCCTCCTATTTAACTTTGCACATATATCTCATAAGGAAATGCATATTTATTGTTCTTAATGAAGATGATCACAGTTACAGACGTATTATGTTTTCAGTTAGAGCACTGCAAGTATGACAGTTTGAATGAACAACTCGCGGAAGCAAGCCTTCGACTTAGGTTATGTTCTGTTCCATCCTGGCTCTGTGTGATTAGCTAAAAATTGTTAACTACAAAGAGGCCGCAATATTAACGATCAATGCCATGTTCTATATTATAGACGCATGAGAGGTGAGGAACTTGACGGACTGAGTGTCGGTGAGTTGCAGCAGATGGAAAAGAATCTTGAAACAGGATTGCAGAGGGTGCTTTGTACAAAGGTAGGGTGACCTCTCTTTCTCCTTATGCTTGGTTTTCGTTCTGCGGGCACTACACCAATTGTTTCACATGATGTATGTTTCTGCACGCAGGATCGGCAATTCATGCAACAAATCAATGACCTGCAACAAAAGGTGAGGAGCGATATCTATCAATTGTTTGTTTAGACTCTGTTTTTAGCCAAAGAGTGTGGAGCACTCCAGTTCCTTTTCTGGAGCCCGTGTGTCAGGCAAATTATCAAACAAAAGGCTTGTATGAGTTACTACTCCCTCGGTCCCAAAATAAGTGGCGTTGGTTTAGTAAATCAAAATCAACGACACTTATTTTGGGACAGAGGTAGTAATAATATTGGGCATTATATATGTTGCCAAACCCTCAAGTAACCTTACTTTATATGGAGACCACATGACAGGGATTATAGTTAATAGAGCCCATTAATAGTTGAATTCAATTTGTTAATTCTAATTCTCATGATTCATAGTGTGACATACCCTTGCAGTACATTGAGAGATGGAGAATGATACGAATATACATGCGCGAAAAATGCCAATGGTGCTCGAGCACCTTGGAGCTTGTTTTCATTTTCTATAGCACGGAAAAATAAAAAAAAATTGTGACCATTCATCACATGTATATCCCATATGTGCAAAATTTCATAACAACTTCCACATGTGGCGTATAAAAAAGACAAATACATATTTCTTAAATGGGCTGATTTTTTTTTGTTTGTCTGTATTTTATTTGTACAGCCTACAAATCACAATATTTTCAAATGATTTTTCACACGTTTGTGCTGAACACATAAGTTTCCATGAAAAAATCCGATTTCTTTTACCACTTTTAAATATGCCTTTTGAACTTCTTAAAATACTGAGCTCCTTGGAGCTCGGTCACCAAAAGTCCGCACTCATAGCAGATATCTTTTAGAACGTGTAAGTAGTAGATATGTGCATGCCATGTGCAACAAATCAATACCTAAAATTGGCACAATACATGCTAAACAAGAGGTAAAATCGACAAGTAGACCCTTTTTTTCTTGCCCATGTTGAATGGAATGGTATCAGCAATATATCCCTTACGTGTGGTTTAAAATTTTATTATTTATTTAAGTGGAAGAAATTATTCTTTTACCATACCAGCACAGTCAATGGAGTTGCTCACTGATAGCATTATTATTTATGAACTATTCAGCAGCACAAAATTAAACAGATTAAGTTTCTTGGTTTTCAGAACATTTTCAGTGTACTTCTGCAAGGTGAACATTTGATAATGTAATTTCTCTTTTTTCTTGTAGGGAACACAGCTGGCAGAGGAAAATATGCGCTTGAAAAACCAAGTAATAAGATTTTAGACGCGTTTGTAGTCCTGCACTCAATCAATCTTTATAAGAAGTGCAGCTTGAACAAAGCCAAAAAAAAAAGTTGGGGTGGCGGAGCACACATTTACATTATGTTCGTGTGCTTGGATGTAGATGCATGAGGTGCCAACTGCTAGCATGGTGGCCGTTGCCGATGCCTATGCCGAAAATGTTGTCCCTGATGATGTTCATTCATCAGACTCTGTGATGACGGCAGTACATTCGGCAAGCTCGCAGGACAATGACGACGGTTCTGATATATCCCTGAAACTAGCGTGAGTTTCATCCAGAAACCCTTGCCGCCTTCTCGGAAATTTTAATTCAATGTTCATCATCTTGATCCTGACATTAGAAAAAATATAATAATATATAGTTACTATTTTTTAATTGGTGAATCTAACAAATCTAATTTCAGTGTCTTTTGTCACCTGACTGATTTACCAACAGTTTGTATCATCAATTCTGAAATGTGGCAGATTCTTCTTCACTCAACAGGTTACCTTGGAAGTAAGAGCCGTGGGGAGACCATGACGAGTTGAGGGAGTTGCCTTGGTAGAGAGAAGATGTCAAATGCTATGGAGACTCACTCCAAGATAGGCTGACTGGAATGATCCCATAGTAGAAGCCAGATCAGTTTAACCCTATCGAGTTGTCGTCGTTTTATGTCTCCATGTGCACGGCGCAGTTGTCCACCTTTGTGCCTGAGTATTCAGTCACTGAACTTGTAGCGTATCCTCTTAATCTCTAGCGACATGTATCATTCGTGCAAACTATGTATGTATCTGCCGCGGCTATGTGTACTTATTTTATGATGAAGTTGTATGGGCGCCGTTCTTGCTGCTGATGAATATAAGCGTGTTAGTGAATTAGCAACTAGGTGAGACAGGGCAAAAAAAAGTTTCAAAAAAATATTTGAAAACTCTGGCAGCGCCCCGGCTTGAACCGGAGACCTTCAGTGTGTTAGACTGATGTGATACCCAACTACACCAGGACGCCTTAATTGTTTGTACTATCGTGATGGTATATTTAAATATCATTAATGCATATCAATAAAAAAAATTGCGGGTGATATCAATAATTAACACATGTTCGACAAGTCGAGTTTCTTTGTTACAGCCTTCTGTCTTGTGAAAGGGAGAACTTGGATGCTTTCACAGGTGCAAGATGTTCCGTTTAATTAGATTAAAACTCGCTAGTTGCGAGAGTGAGTAGAAGTAATCAACTTGGGAAAGCATGCAGCCTTTTGTGCTCCACGGCTGTGGGCTGTGTTCTATGCCTTGAAAAAGGAAGGAAGTCAATGGGCGGATGGGCTGGAGTTTCACATAACGGTGGCGGCGGCGAAGCTCAAACCGCCGTATGATGGGCAGGTCCTGCCATGCCCTGAACGCGTTGGAGCTTACCAAAAAAATACTATCATATGAGAAATTTAGGTCCCCTTGCCTCTTGCTGCCATTTTGGCGCTGAGAGGTGGGAGTTGGGAGGACCTCGGATCTTCAAGATCTCTATATTCTTGTCTAGTGATCATCATAGTTTGCGAGAATAAATTTTATTTTGTCCTTTTGGCGGTGCCATGATGTTAGATACTTCCTCCGTCTAGGTGTGTAAGTCATCTTACGAAACCAAATAATCCCAAAACACTTAGGCGCGGTGCATTAATTTCTACCTCGTTTCTTGTTTCTTAACATATCAACCAATAAAAGATGATGGGTGTGCATATTTTTAATGACTTGAGACTACTAAACACGACATGCAGTGGTTAGTTCATTGCATGCAATGCTATTAATTAGCAAATAAATATTAAGGTCTCTCGTTTTCCCCTCCTCCTTGGTCATGGTGCACAACCTAAGATGACTTACTCACCTAGACGGAGGGAGTAGTTTTTCGTCCTCGTAGATCTGATTATTCGGATCTGATGAGTTTATGTTGTTGTGTCAAGCTTTTTTTGTTGGTCTGATTCTTTGTGAAGGTGAAATCTTGCATCGACATCATGGTGAAGTACAGTGATTCAACCACCTGCACTTGTAAGGCATCATCCCCGACACAAGTACGTTCATCGATCAAGGCTTTCCATCTTTTTTGATGTCGACTCAAGGCGCTTTCAAAAATCATTATTGGTATTGTTCGTGCGGGTGAAAGAGTGACAACATCGTTGCTTCAGTCTAATTGCAGCATCTTTACTAAAGTCTTTGGAGTATTTTTTTCAAGCAGATTTTGATACCGCGAAAAAGGTATTTCCAAGAGATTTTATTGTAATTCTGAGTCACTTTTTTCTTTTCGAAAAGGGGGTTTACCCCGGCCTCTGCATCAGAACGATGCATACGGCCATCATATTAAACGCAAGAGGTTCAACAAAGGTCTCATAGTCTCATACAAAAGAACAAAAGCTCAACAAGGAGCATGAAAGCAAAGAAAAGGGATAGCCACAACCGGTAGGCAAAAACAGATAGGAAACTAAACACCTATCCTATTACATGACCGCCATCCAAACCGGTTGAATATATCCCGAGCTACCACCTCCCATCGGATAGAACCAGTAACCAAATGCTCCTGGCCTTCGTCGGAGTGAGTAGCGACCACATACGGATGAGTGTAGTGGCCCTGAAGATAACCTGCAATAAATGAAAATTTGTCGTTCTGTTAAAAACCAAATCGTTTCTGCAATTCCAGATTGCCCATAGTAAAGCACATACTCCTACTCGGATATGTCTTGCTGTTACTACGTCAATCCCATCTAACCACGTCCCAAATAACGTGTTAATGGAATTCGGCGTTATATTAAAAGCTATGTGGATAGACCTCCACAAATTTTTTGCCAAAGGGCAATCAAGAAAAAGGTGTCTGATTGATTCATCACTATCACAAAAACTACATTTTTTAGATCCCATCCAGTTGCGCTTCGCCAAATTGTCCTTAGTTAGGATAACTTGTTTGTGTACAAACCACATAAACACTTTAATTTTTAAAGGCACTTTGACTTTCCAAACATGTTTCGATCGAGGCATGACGCTAGCGTTAATAATATCCATATACATGGATTTAACTGAAAACTCCCCATTCTTAGTTAGTTTCTAGCGAATCTGGTCAGGCTGTTGAGATAGTTGGATATCCATTAAACGTCTCACAAGATGGAGCCAATCTTCCCAACGATTTCCTACTAGCGTCCTCCTGAATTGAATATTAAGAGGATTTGACTGTAATACTGTTGCAACATAAGCGTCTCTTCGCTGAACAATATTATAGAGAGAAGGATACTGCATCGCAAGAGGAGCCTCCCCTAGCCATGTATCCTCCCAGAATCTTGTGGAAGTACCATTTCGAACTACGAACTTTGTCCTATTGAAGAAAGCTGATTTCACTTGCATGAGTCCCTTCCAGAAAGGCGAATCAGTCGGTCTTACCATCACCTGGGACAAAGTTTTGGACTGAAACATACTTAGCACGAAAAATATGTTCCCAAGTGGCATCTGTCTCTACAGATAACTTATACAACCATTCGCTGAGAAGACATCTATTCTTTACCTCCAATTTTTCAATGCCTAGACCCCCCTGGTCTTTCGGCTTGCAAATGACATCCCACTTAGCGAGTATGTATTTTCTTTTTAAATCATCGCTCTGCCAGAAGAAGCGTGATCGATAAAAGTTTAGACTTTTCCCTACTCCAACTGGTACTCCGAAAAAACACAATAGAATCATAGGCATACTCGTGAGAACCGAATTGATCAGAATCAGTCGTCCTCCGTATGACAGAAGCTTGCCCTTCCAGCAGCTCAGTTTTTTCTCAAATCGATCTTCAATGCTCTTCCACTCTTTGTTAGAGAGCTTGCGATGGTGAATTGGTATACCCAGATACGTGAAAGGTAAAGATCCCAATTCACACCTGAACAATTCTTTGTATGCTTGTTGTTCTTCTTTTTCTCTTCCAAAGCAGAACAATTCACTTTTGTAGAAGTTAATCTTCAACCCCGATAATTGTTCGAACAAGCATAACACTAGATTCATATTTCTAGCTTTAGCCACATCATGCTCCATAAAGATAATAGTATCATCAGCGTACTGTAGGATAGACACTCCCCTGTCAACTAAATATGGGACGAGGCCCCCTACCTGACCAGCATCCTTGGCCCTTCCTATTAAGATTGTCAACATATCTACGACAATGTTAAATAGAATCGGTGACATTAGATCTCCTTGTCGCAGGCCCTTGTGTGTCTGGAAGTAATGACCTATATAATCATTAACATTGATTCCAACACTCCCTTTTTGCGTGAACAAATCTACCTGGTCTCTCCAGGCCTGATCGAAACCTTTCATACGCAAAGCCTGCTGAAGAAAAGGCCATTTGACTTTGTCATACGCTTTCTCAAAATCTACTTTGAAAACCACCCCGTCAAGTTTTTTCGTGTGGATTTCATGGAGCGTTTCATGCAAAACCACAACACCTTCTACGATGTTTTTTGTCCGGCATGAAAGCAGTTTGGGACGGCTGAACCACCGAATGTGCAATCTGTGTAAGCCTATTAGTCCCAACCTTGGTAAAGATTTTGAAGCTAACATTCAGAAGACAGATCGGCCTAAATTGCTCAATCCTCACAGCCTCTCTTTTCATTGGCAGAAGCGTGATAGTGCCAAAGTTCAAGTGAAATAACTGCAACTGTCCCAAAAAAAGGTCCTGGAACATCGGGAGCAACTCCCCTTTAATAATGTGCCAGCATTACTTATAAAACTCCACCGGAAAGCCATCCGGTCCTGGAGCTTTATTATTTTTCATTTGGGAAATTGCTTCGAACACCTCTTTCTCCGAAAATGGAGCCATCAAAATATCGTTCTCCTCAACTGCGAGCTGAGGAACATCCTCAACCCTCGACTCGTCCAAAGAGATACAATTGTCTTCAGGAGGCCCAAATAGTTGTTTGTAGTAATCAGTGATATATGCCTTTAGGTTATCCTGCCCTAAAATTGTTCCCTCTTCTTGCTCAAGCTGAAAGATTCTCTTCTTTCGGTGCTTGCCATTCGCAATCATGTGGAAGAATTGTGTGTTATCATCCCCTTGGGCAATTTTGCGAACATTAGCACGCAGAGCCCACTTCAATTCCTCCTCACGAAGCAGTTCTTTCAACCTTAACTCCGCCTCCACTTTAGTTTCCAGTTCTCTGGTGTCTAATATGGAAGACTCCGCCTTTAAATCTAGGGATTGAATAAGAAAAAGGAGCCTTTCCTTCTCAGCCTTATAAATCCCACCTATATGCTTAGCCCAACCCCGTAAGAATTGACGCAAATGACGGATCTTATTTTGCCAATGCTCAACATTCGTTCTCCCTCCTGAACCTTTAGCCCATTCTCTTGCTATTAGATCCAGAAACCCTTCTCTTTCAAACCATGCTAATTCGAAAGAAAAAGTACTATTATTCCCCACATGCGTTGCCTCACCCGAGTCAACCAACAATGGGGTATGATCGGAGATACCGCGTGAGAGTTCTTGAACTGTCAAAAGGGGAAACTTCTGTTCCCAGTCGACGCTCGCAAGGACCCTG